CAGGGTGAATAACGGTCGAGGAAATCCTCGACCATAGCTCTCTACCATGCGAGAGTAGTGCCGAGAGTGAACATCCGCGCGGAGAGCACAGACGGCACGCGCATGGCGAGTGTGAATGTCCGCGCGAGAGATCGTGTCTGATCGGGCAGAGAATCCTCGACGTGCCGTTGAGGAATCCTCAAGCGATATTCACCCTGCTCCCAATGATACAATCTCGTTGCGCATTTTTGGGGTTGCTGTATGCGGCCTGTGCTTGATTTATGAGCAACTACAGTAAAGGACGGTGAACGGGTGTGCAAGAGTTTTCAGGTACATATTTCATTCTGTATATCATTCGAGAAAACATTTATGCTTCAATTAAGTGTAGTTATCATAGCTACCTAGCAAAGTAACAAAGTAATATTAGCAAACATGTCATAACAACCATATTATATGTACTATTTTGCCACTATCGCACTATTACAACCCCAGTGGGATGAGATAGGTCAAAGGAAGAGTTAGGAATGAGGGAGGGGGAAGGGAGCACGCGGCGCCTGTCACGCGCGATGGCACTAGCAATAAGTCTGAGTCTAGAAGGATGCTTAAATGTGCCAAAAATTGGATTCCGCGGAATCACAAATCACACTTGCTTGAGCACTCCTTCCCAGGCTCAGACTTGGTGCCATCGCGGTTGAGAGAACGCGCCGCGTGGCTCCCCCCTCCAACTCACTTAGCACCGAAAAAAACTTCCGCTGAACTTCTCCTGTTAGAGTAAGCGAGGTTCCTGATGACGGATATGACATTCATTTGGCGCTGGAACCAGAGAGTAGGTAAGTTATTCATCACGTGACCTCGACATACTCCAAAGTTACCTCACGGTGAGTGGCTCACCAATTATGGAGCCCCTCCCCTCTTAAGGAGCAACCTGAGGGCAGACGAGTAGAAAAAGAGCATGAGCAGTGTCAGCGCCAAAAATGTATGCCATAAATGAATGTTTTCGGGATCAGGGCTTCAAGCAACCCATACGCAAGTTTACAGCGAATTTGGTGAGAACACCCTTGGCGCCAAATGGCGCCAAATGGCGCCAATTTGGCGCCAGCGCCAAAAACTAAGGTCATATTCGTGATCAGGAGCCTCGATAACCCCCCTAGCGCAAGTTTCAGCGAAAAAATTTTTGATCCATCTCACCCCCTCTGGGGTTCTATAGTGCATTAGTGCATATTTTCAATAACGAGATGAGTTCATTATGTTTGTAGGACTTTTTACAACTTCGACGTTCGGATTTGCGGATTGCGGCCGAATTCGAGTCATCGTGGTGGTTTTTCCAGGAAGCGTTGGTACATCGCCAAATAGTGTACGACCAATTCGGGCATTTGCAGCGTCGCGTATCTGGAAATGTATTTTCGAATAGTATCATTGAAATCAAACACGTCCAAGAGGGCTGAATAGTAAAACTGCTCGACGGTAACCTCTACCAGGTTGATGTCAGTAAGAAACTGAGCTTCTGTAAAGTTAAGTGGTTGAAAAACTGGAGCAGAAATAACCCTTGAAACGTGAGCACCCTGAAATAGCGACCCTCCGTGGCTATGAGCCCATATCTGAACTCGAGGAGGAGGGAGGGAAGAGAATTCGATTTTTGCCCTAAACGTTTACTAGACATGTTTCTGGAAATGAGGGGAGGAGAAGGGAAGAGAATTCAATTTTTCTTCCAAATATTTGCTGTAGGAACCTCTTTATTCAGAGTGAGGTAGATGATGGAGTTGATGCCACAGTTGATCATGAAAACGACGGTAGTAACGACGTAGGCTTCAGGTGCTTCGATGCCGATGGCCGGATACAGGAAGAACGTCAGCCATGTGACGGTGTAGGTGAGGAACATGATCAGAAATTGAACGCAGCACCTGGAATAGTATTTTTTCGCCAGGTGGTAGTATAGAATGAGATTGGGGTCAATTCCAAACGGGGGGGGGGGCATTGCGTGAACAGTCCGCTCTAATAGTAGTTTCTATCTAGGAATCCTTCGAAGTAACGAACTGCTATCAGCTTTATTCCTATGTTTTTCTTCTAGTTTTTGGTGTAATGTGTAATTATTTGTATTTTATAACAAAAACTTCCATAAAAAGGGAGATTCAGCCAGTGAGCAGTTAGGACTAGTTCCCAACAAAAAAAGAAGACTGCTCACGAACCCCGGGATTTTCTCTGCCTTCTAAGGCTTAGTCTTAAACCATTACCTTTAGGACAATGCTATTCATGGTTTTGAGCAGCAGGGAGCGCTCTAAACGGCGTGCCAGTGGACCAACCCAGAGATTGTGAAGTAGCTCTAGTGGCTTCGTAAGCTGATTGGGAGTTTCCTGTCGATGAGGTGTTGCCGCTTCCAAGCTTCAGCACACTTTTCTGGGCGCATCATGCGTACTATCAATCGCGTATCTCCTTCACCCAAGGGCAGTGTGCGCGGTTAGTACTGACGAAATCCAAGGAAAAATGGGGATCTCATCCCGTCTATATGCTACTAACAAGGTGTCCTCCCCTTCATCCCCCTCAAAAGATGTCCTCCCCTTCATCCCCCCCCCTCAAAAGAAAGGACTGCAGTCGGCACAATGCGCTGTTCATTGTTAGATCATTCAAAAAGTGGATGCACTCCCTTAGAAGCTCTTCTCAAAAGCTGCTTCTCGATTCAAGAGGTGATATCTGTTTGGAACCCCTAGTTACACATACACTTTTTTCGATGCCCCGAGTAATAGTATAAAACAGTTCCTCAATGTGAACATCATCATCGCTTTATATCTCTGCTGGCTGCGCTAGCTTTAAAGGAGGAATTCACGATTAGAATGAAGGTCGAAGAAAGGGAAACTGACCTAGTTGAGGGACCCACGGACCTCCTGAGGGTGCGAACTGACGCGCAATTCGCATGGAAAAATTTGACCTCGGCGACCTATCATGCCTCAAAGCTGGCGGGTCCGGCGATCTCCGCCCACCGATCATCTGATCACTCGCCGTAGTTCAATACGTGGCGAGTGATTAGATAGCTGAGAGAGCGTAGTGTTGAAGAGGGCACAGCGATGAGAGTCGCATCAATGCTCAATCAACGGGCAAGGAAGGGGTCCATTTCTCGGGTTCTGGGCCGTTTCTCATGGTTCTTCCTTCTTTCGTGTACCACTCACCATCCCTAGGTTAATTTGAAATGGGTTGCTTTTTCATCGTGAATTCGTCCTTTAATAGAAATTTAACATTCAAGGTCTAGAACATCGTTTCGTCAAAATAAGAATGGCTCACCTCAACTCCCTCCTTCTGAATCGATCATGCCGAGCTCCCACTTTGATAACGTAAGCAAATAACTGAAAGTTGAGAAATGTTGGGGAACGCTGAAATTAAGGCCTTAACCTTCAATAAGGTCGGATGTGGTACGATGGCGAGACAGGGCGATCAAAGAAGACAAAACACGCGAGAGATCACGCCGTTCGAGAGAGCACGCTGATCTCTACATCAATCGAGGTGGGTGGGAAGCGTTGCAACGGGGTCGATGGTTGCAGGCCCGTAAGGATTAGCGCCTTTTTGCACCGAAGCTGGAGTGATCTAGGTAGGTACGGGCCTTACAAATTCTCTCGCGGTATCCCTCACACAAGTCGAGCTTATCTCGGGGTTGCCAAACAATATCAAACAATATGGACGATCTCGAATGATTGTTTAATAAAATAACAGCGTGTTTACTCACAGCAATGTACGACAAGCCACAGTACACAGAGGTGCCGATATCTAACGGTAGATCGACATACGTTGCCGAGGGATTTGATGTTTGATTAGGGAATATCAAATAGGAATAGCCAAAAAACCTCGGGTCTGGAGTGATTCTAAATTTTTCAAAAATCATCACTTCACAATCCAGCAGACTTTAGGCAGAGCCAAGCTGACCTGCAACATGGCGATATCAACTGTGAATAAGTGACCATTCCCAGCGCAGCCATGAAACAGATCACAAATAGGAATGTGACCCTCTGGTGGGTGAACAGGGTCCTTGTTGGGAAACATATGACGGCAAACCTGAAAAAAATTCTTAAGGCCATAGGAGTGTTCACAGGGGTCAAAAACAGTATGACTGTGAGAATGTGAGGTCTCGTTCAGGAAAGGGGCCATGAGGCAGTAGTAGTTCATGATGCCTTCGAAGCTCTGGGGTAACACCACATTCCCCCTCGCCTCCCTACTGGATGACCCATAATCTGAGTTAGGTTGGTTGTAAAGAAGAAAAATGAGTCTTTCGAAGGTTGAGCCAATACTCATGAGAAAAAGCTCGTCGAATCTGGGCTCATTGAGTCGGAGAGCTCAGTCGATGAGCTTTCTCGAGCAGGAACCTAGCGACTGAATTTTCTTTTTTGATCCATATTCGCTCCCCACTTTCTTCATTCGTCCTGTAGTATTAATAGGTCACCGGGCAAAAAAATCTTAGGATTTTTATAACTTCCGACTTGTTATCACAAAATGAGTAAGTTAAATTGTATTGATAATAGGCACATATCACTAGTCAACTTGCCCTTGCTCTTTCGATTCCTATAATATTACGATACAAACACTCGACAGCTCCGGGTGTGCGTCATTTGGCGCGATTCCATAGGCACTGGCGCACAC